CTGTTCATGACATTTTTTTTTTCAGTCCTCATCTCATTAATCTACAAATTTAGCAGCATTTCCATAGCTTCATTATATACTACATTGTTGTTTTGAAGTGCTGCTGAGTCAGTTCCAAAGCTTTCTGAGGAGCAGCTGGTAGGTTTGAAGTGCCGACCTTGTGATTCACAGTCCAGTTCCGATCTATAATTCCCTAGAGTGACCTCACATACAGATCAGCAAGTTTCTCTTTCTTATTCTGAATATTGCTGATTCATTGACATTGAATTCATGGCCAACTCTCTGTAACTCGAGTCTGAACAAAGCTTATTTAACACACATCTCTTCTTTAGAAGGCACACCGCAGCCATCTTACTTTTAGGAATATTAGTATTTCAGCACTATGCCAGGAGCTATTTTAAACAATGAAATCAGCAGCAAAAATCACCAAAATGTGGAGAAAAAAAAAAAAAGTGCCAATAAATAGATCACAAAAAGGACACTTATTTCAGACACTTATTTCACTTATTTTGAAATTTGCAATAAGAAAGTAGAACATCGCTTTGTTTGACCTCAGCTGGAAAAGTAAGTGCTGGATGACACAGATGTTTGGCCACTCAGTACATGCCCACCAATAACCTCTAAAACACCATGAGTATTAATTTTGGAGTTACAAGTAAATTTTAAGTAGTCAAATAGGCTGACTCATAAATACGAACATTTTTAATAAAAGGAATCAATTAAAGAGTATTTAACTAATAAAGCCTTCCAAAGCATAATGTGCCTTACAAAGAAAGTCGCTTTCGTTGTTGTTGTTAAGTGCTGTCAAGTAGATCCCAAGGGTTTCCAAGGAAACCTGGTGGGTTTGAACCACCAACCTTGTGATTAGCAGTCCAGCTTTTATCCCACAGCCCCACAATATGTGTGCTAAATAAGCTTCATTCAGGCATGTTATTGTTGTTAAGTGCCATCAAGTTTGTTCTGACCCCTAGCTAACCTGTATAGAGTTTCCAAGGGGTGACTGGTGAGTTTGAACTACAGACCTTGCGGTTCAAACCGACTTTGCAGTCCAGAAGTTATATCAACTGTTTAGAAGTGAAGTTTACTACTTCCTGGACTTGCTTTCTGTTTGCTAAATGAGCCAGGGGATTTGGAGACAGACTGGATTTAAAACATCTCTAAGGTTCATTACAGTTCTAAAGTTAGAATCTTTTAGAACATGTGGAATTAGTGGAATTCTTATACATGTTTCTTACACTTATTTTATTGCGAGACATACTGTGAACTTTTTTACTTGTAAGTTCAAAGAGTAAGGTACATGAAGAGAAGTGTGGCTTCTGCTTTGGAAGTGTGCCCGGGACTTATCTGAAGAACGTCTTCAAAATGTCGTTGGATTTTTAGATCAATATGATCAGCTTCACCTTGCCTTTCTAATGTCTATATGCCTATAAGTCTCCTGGGATGGATATTTAAAACAAATTGCTGTTGGGATAACTGCTTTGATGTTGTCTTTGCAAGATCTCTGATTGTGGGGGTGTACCCAGGCCTTTCCTCTTTTTGCTCCCCAGAGTCCCTTTCCTTCAATCACGTGATTCCTTTCCTGCTTCCGTTTACACCATGATCATTGTGAGCTTCTGGCCCTTGTCCACTGCAGGCTCATGTATGTCTCCTGTTCTATCAAAATTCTGTTGATTCATCAAGAGTTCTGGTGCTCTTTGAGACCTCATCTCATTATTCTGAAAGACATAATATAATTTTAAAATCTCAGGTTCAATAGCTGTCAGCCATTTGTATAAAATATAGATGTTTTATATTAATTTCAATTGTAATGTTTTCTAATGCAGTTTTATTTATCCCTTTATAATATAAGAAATGCCGTTTTTGTCAGCTGTTTCTTTTAGGCCAATGCATAACTCTTGTTCACATTTCCTCATGTAGTGGGACCTTACACCGAAAATCCATTTGACCAATTTTTTTTCTAATGATAAACTAGTATCAGATATAGATAATGGTGAGACTGTTATACGTATGTGGTATTTCTTATACTTCATCCCTTTCAATTTTATTTTAACAGGTTACGTAGGTATGAAGCTACATTCCTGGCTATGTGCTAGCAGGGTAGGCTAGCCAGTGCAGGTACAAATAAACATTGAAATCTCATGGATTCACAAAACAAATCTTTATTTTTCATTCTTACTGCAGTCTGAGGTTTGAGTGGTTTTTTTCAATGGCCCTTCCTTTAGGAACTCAGGAATCCAATGCTAATCTTACAGTATTACATATTGCAGAAAAATCTTTGCGTGCTCCATTCCTCTGAAATAATTGTACAATCCCTTGCTTGTTGATGAAAACAACTAATAGCATGATTTCTGTTATTTTGCATGCAAATCAGGGCTATGCTTCTGTTTTTACTATTGCTTTCTGTTGTTTTGCTTTTCCCCCAGGATAACTTTTTAATTTAGTGTATCCATTAATTGTTAAGTAAGACGTGCAACAGATGCTAGGAGCCTAGAACAACTAGTAGGACCTTCTGGAACACAGCACATGGGCATGTAATCCTAAATGGAAGTGTGTGTTCGAACAAATTTTAAACTTAAAATAACTGTTCTTTTTTCCCCCGATCCTAAAACAGTGCCTGATACAAAGCAGTGGTACAGTAAATACTTGTGGAACGACTGAAATAAAAAACAAAACTCTCCTTAGCTTTACCTTAACCCTAAGAATGATTTTTGAAAATTAATTTAACTGTTTATTAGTACTCTCTGTCTGTGGAGGTTTTTGAGTTGTTATGATGCTGAACAGGTTTCAGTGGAGCCTCCAGCCTAAGGTGGAATAGGAAGAAAGGTCTGGCTATCTGCTTCTGAAAATGAACCAGTGGAAACACTCTAGATCATGTCTAATCTGCAGCTCTTAATGGTGATGGCACAGGACCAGAATGTGATCCGTCTTGTTGTGTATGAGTAACTGTGTTTGAGGCTGATTCAACAGCAGCTAATAACAGACATGTCCCAGTTCATATTTGCAGTGAATACTTTCAGACTAAGATGTGAGCTTTACCTGTTGTAACTGAACATGAAACTGGAACTGGGGAATGTTTTCCAAGCTTGGGATTTATCCCTTTTTTCTGAATTGATTTATGATAAGGCTTATTGGAATTTAAGTATAAACTTAGTAAATATATCACATGTATGAACTACAAAGATTGAAAAAAAAATTGAGGGACTAAAGAGAGTCATCAAATAATAATAATAAAAAATATAGTCAACAGAATCATTTAAATATCCTTTGAATCATTTTATATAGAGTAATTTCAGTTGCTCTACATATCACAACGTTAGAGATAGTGCATTATTCAGGCAGTAGAGATAGGTGTAAATTATGAACAAAGGAAAAAAAAGACTTGTGTTTTATACATGGTTTAAATACAATAATACAGAACAGCTTTTGACTGGAATGGGCCTCATCAAGTGGTTGTTTTGGTAGAGGAGAAAATGGGACTTGCGAAACTGTGAATCAGGCAATCTGTATTCACATCTTAATGCTTTGCAAATGACTTTCTCAGTTTGCTGAAATAAAATAGGCTCATGAAATCATTAATTTTCTATTTGTTTATGCTGTACAACTCCCCTCATCCCTTAGAAAAGTCCATAAAGCAAACTAGCAACATTACGTTGAGCTAAAAAACACATACAGGGCATGTCTCTAGCAAATATTTTCAGTTGCCATTTCCTTGTGTTTCTGTCATCTTAGATGAGGATTGCTCAAAGCTAAGTGTTCTCCATTAGTGTGAGGTCAGTGGGTAGTTATATTAATGTCAGTGATGGCATTGTCTGCAAACAGTTTGTGAAAACAGGCCTGCTATAAACTGATCAGTGATGAGCTTAATTGTTACAATTGAGAATTAAAGACCGATGCTTCTTATGTGTTTTAAGAAGATAAATGTCACCTTGTTGCTTTGGAGGTTACATAAATGGTAATTTAGTTCACATCAACAGTTTCCAAGTAAAAACAATAAAGTTGAGCTTCCATGATGCATTTCAGATCAGGGTATTAAATTACATCAATATGCTAACCACAGATTGTTAGGGGCTTCAAACACTTGCCTTATAAATGCATTTGTCTCTTTCCTCTGGAGTAGGAACTTGCCTCTTGTTCTTTACTGATTCTGGGACTGAAGAAAATAAAGAACTCTGAGGAGGATCTGCTATTTTAATAATAATTTTGGAAATTTGCTTTACAAGGGCTCTGTTGCCATGTATGTTTGTTCTTGACTGATGAATGAACTGTAGCTATATTGCTATGTGGTACACTTGAATACTTTTATTTTAATGAAGAAGAGTTGCTATCAAATTGTTCTTCAGAAGGAACCTCCCTTTTTCTCTGCATGTGACTCTTGTCCTGTGAATAAAGCTCTAAATTCTATGAAGAACTAAAAATAAGAATCATTCTCAGATCTGCTCCCCTTTTATCTAAAGATTTGGGAATGACTTGGGTCTCTGTTAAAATCAAAGTCAATATTCAGCCTAGATCTAAAGATTTAGCCCTTTACTGGCTCTTCTCTGAATTATAGATTTAATATCTGTAGGTTTGTGAAAAGAAAAAAATGTTGATCTTGAAATATCTTTAGGGATATGTGTACTTTTAGGTAGCATTATTGAAAAGCTCATATGTGGGGCAGCTCACATTGCACCAAAATAAGAAGAAAAGAGAGCATAATTGTCTTTTAAGATGGATAATATTCTGTGTGGTATACAAAAGGCTGGAATCTCACCAGTCAACCTGAACTCATGATGTTACAAATTTCTCTAATCATCATCATTGTACAGTTGTTCAAAAATGTCGATCATTTCAATGGCTTCTGTTTATTTTTATTTTCCTGGGGAGAAATCTTTTTTTGCTGTTTTGTTTTTTCCTTTTAAAAAATTATAAACTAAGAAGTCACTACCTGATTTGAATAAATCCTGCCAGTGTACCAAACAAGACCTGTGTGTATAATGTGAGTTCTTTCTTTTTAATTTTAGAATCAACCTTGTCCTATGTTAGGCAGCTGGAGGCAAGAGTAAGACAGCTGGAGGAAGAAAATCGCATGCTGCCCCAGGTGGGTGACTTCCAGAAGTTCATAGCTAGTCAGTGTCATTTGAGTTGTGACATTTTATTTGGAATTTAACATCTCAATTAAATTTTCTCTTTAAGTTATAGAAATAATTTTATAAATAACAATTCACAGATGTAAATTGTGATTATTTACCCCATGATCATCGTATGATCCTTAGGTATGATGCTAAAGGATACAGATGTCTGAATTAAGATTGTAAAAGGACTTTGGAAAGAAGAAGAAAAGAGAAAAAGCAAATAAAACGAAGTAGAAAATCCACTTTGACAAGAATACTCATAGATATCATACAAGTAGTTGTTGGCCATAGGGAAGAGGTTCTAATTTAAATAGGAAATTTAATTTATGAGTTAGTCAAAGCTGTAGGCAGGTTGAAGGTTTTATATTTTAATTAAATTAGTACTTTTTGTAGATCTTTGTGATATAATTGAACTCTCTCAGTACAAATAAGTGATGACAGCAGTTGGCAGTCTTACTTAGCTTTTACTTTGGGGCTGGGGCTGTGTTCCTTTTCCCTGGTGAATGTAAAGTAGAACTTTTTCTGGGGTATTTAATGGTTTGTCAGATGTTTTCCTTATGTCATTATTTGTGAGAGCTATTAACTAGGTGAAAGTGATTTTGGTCTTCTGGGCTGAAGTTCTTAGGAAGTGTTTTCTTGAGCTGTTGAAGAAATCTACTAACAATGAAGACAGAACGTGTTCTAATATTTTATAAAAAGAAGTTCTCTAGACAATTAGTCAGATAATGTGTTTTTTCCACATTCTAGTGATTTTTCAATTTTGTTTATGATTAAGGGAAAATTAAACTGAAAACAATTAGTAAACATCAGTTTGTTTATGCATCGAAATCTATTGTACTTGTTTTTCCGTATCTCGGGAGTTTTCCACAGCCTTATTACTTTCTGTTGCTTGTTTCAATGAATATATTTGAATTTTCCTTTTCTGGCAGGTATCTTCCTTACATAGGTTCCAACTTTCACATTTTTTACTACGTAAAAATTCTTATAAAATAAAAAGGCAAAGCCTAGTTATAATTTAGGAGTATAGACTACAATATTAGAATCATATGTGAATACTCTCTGGAAAGTCATTGTAGGTCTTTTAAATTTGTTTTTAAAGTACTTGGACTCATTAATGATGATTTGGGCTGTCAAGTGCTTTGTATGAAGAGGGATTTCCCTTTCTTTGCTTGGCCAACCATCTGGATAGGAAGCTTGAGATGAAATGAAATGAACTGACTCCTTTCAAATTCCACATTGGTCAAAATTTTTGATTACAGGAGTGATTATTTACATCAGGAAATAAAACACTGTTGATAGAGGTTTTGGGTTTTTGTCCTCTTTTTTTATACTTAAAAATTTTTTTTTACGTTTTATATTGGAGTCACAATGTGTTAATACTAGGGATTCTTAACTGAAAGCTAGGGATTCTTAACTAAATTCTTTCCATGTTTCCAATAAATTCATTTTTGGGTGACTAATATATGATTAGCAATTCCAGTAATTCATTTTTGGGTGACTAATAGCTCTGGTAGCGTAGTGGTTACGAATCGGGCTGCGAACCTTAAGGTCAGC